ACACACACACACACACACACACACACACACATATATATATATATATATATATATATATATATGTGTGTGTGTGTGTGTGTGTGATTAACTACATTAAATATAAATAATAAAATAAATAAATTCTTACCCATTTTTAAAGAAGTACAATTGTCGACGAAAGCTGGTTGCTGCATCAAATACTAAGTCACGCTTACACGGTTATGGTGGGGTCAGTCCAGAATTTGGTTTTGGTGTTCTAACTCCTAAAACATAACACAAAACATATAACATAAATAATATTTATTGATTTTTTTTATAGTTGATAATGCTCACCAGTGACCATGCAATATGATCTGTTGTATTTTATTTATTGATATTGCACTATGTGTTCTCTATCACAAAAAACATTTACCGTACAGGGCCTGGACCCCAATTCGGTCATCACGAGGAAGTGTATAGCCATTCGTGTTGACATATCGGTAAGTTGGATACATGAGAGCCAAAGGGTCTTTGGAGTGCTCTAGTCCCAGTGCATGTCCGAATTCATGAGCCGCCACCAAAAGCAGGTTTATATCTAAAGCAGATTTATGATTTTTTAAATAATAACAAGGTAACATATGTATGTAAGCATGTGATTCTGTGTGATTTGTGCATTCACCTCGTGATCTTAGCGTCCACCTCTCATCATCATCAAAGTGTGTGTCTCCTCCCTGCTCTGGACCGGGAGCGTTGGCATGGGCCAGAACCCCATTAGGCCCATCAAATGGGTAAAAATCTCCATGATCTAAAAGGAAACATATAGTCCTATGGAATAATTACATTTTTTTATGTTTTTAAAAGAAGTATTTTATGCTCACAAAGGATGCTTTTTTTAAACCAAAAACAACAACACTAAAACAGTAATATTGTAACATATTACATTTTACATTTATTTCAATTATTATCAGTGCTGAATTATTAATAATGCTTAATATTTTTTAAGGTTTCTTTGATGAAAAGAAATGAACAGCATTTATTTAATATTAGAAATCGTGTATACCATTATAAATATTTTTACTTTCAATTTTAATCGATTTTTAGTGTGTCATTGCTGAATAAAGGTATTCTTTTCTTTATATTAAAAAAATCGAGAAAAGGATTTACCCCAATCTTTGAAATGGAAGTGTATCACACTTTCCACAAAATTATAAATTAAGCAGCACAACTATTTTCAGCATTGATATAATAATAAGAGCAGCAAATCAGCATATTAGAATGATTTCTGAAGGATCATGTGACACTGAAGACTAGAGTAATAATGCTGAAAAATTAGGTTTGCTGCCACAAGTTTAAAATATATCACAATAGAAAAATTGTTATTTTAAATTGTAATAATATTTCACAGTACTACTGTTTACTGTATTTTTGATCAAATAAATGTAGCCTTGGTGAGCATTTGAGACTTCTTTCAAAAACAATGTAGACATTTTTAATTATTCCACTATAACTTTTTATGGTACTGTAGTCTGTACATATACCCACATTCTGCTTTGAAGAGAATCATGATATCAGCTGTGCCGTTGTAGATCTGTTTGAAGTCAAGTGCAATAACATCACTGTAGAGCTGGAAAGCTTTAGTGATGGTAGTGTCCACCTCTCTCTTGCTCAGCTGTGATGTATATTCAGTTATTCTACGAGAAAAAAAAAGCATATCTATATATATTAGTTTGTAGTCTGAAATTCAATACTAAACAGTAGCATTTTGCACAGAAAAAAACATATTTTCTCAGTCTGACAAGGTCTACTCTGATTGGTTGATTTCAATGAACAAAATTAAGGAACTACACCTTACCTGTATGTTACAACGCTCTGCTTCCACTTGGGCTTTCCCTGAAAGTGTCCGTATCTGGCCACATCAGTGACTCCACAGCGCGGCAGCTTCATCGTCTCAAGAGTGTTCGAGTCCAGCTTACCCGTGACCTCCAGTCCAAAAAAATCCTGCATGGCCTTCAGTTCCTTTTCTAGATTTGGGAGGATTCTGCCGCTGAATGTTGCGTTCTTGTCCCTGTAGAACTGCGACAGATAAGCCTGGGAAGAAAGAGGAAGGAACAATTGTATACTGATTTTACACTGAAACAGTGCAGATAAATATCACAGTTTCATATCACAAAGTTAGATCTGTAGATCTTTTTAATGTCATGATAAAAAAAAAATGCATAAAGTGCATAAGTTAGTAAATAGATAATCCAATTATTTATTTAATTGTGGGTACTGACCTCTGCTATTTGATGGTCTTCTGGTGATGCTGTCGTGGGAGCGCCGTCGCAAAGAGCTAAAAACCAAATAAGTGTCAGGCTGAGAGCTGTCCAGTGCTCCATACTTCAGTCTTCTTCTTCTGCAGGGAAAGAAAATTGATCTCCACAGTGTCTGTTTCTGACTTATAAGTCTAAGTGGTCTAAAAGGGGCTCGTCCAGTGTTTTATCTTTTCCAATCAGTGGTTGTATTAGTGGGGGTGGAAGTGGGAAACTCAGGGTTTCAGGTTTTTTTGGTTGCTGACTGAACATGTCAGACAGAAGTTTGTGTTGTCGATGACTTCACCTCTGACGCAACTGCTGAACGGGCCCGCTTCAGAAGGATTTTAGGTTTTGTATTCAATGCCTCTGCTTTTTATTTATCCTCTTTCTGGTGACTTTCATCTCCCGAGGGGATAAGTTTCATCCACTGTACTGTTGATGGGATGCATGCATTTACCATTTCTGACAGTAGATGGTAATATACGTTTTCTCCCCCAAAAAAAAAAACCCAAAAAACCCTAAGGGTATGGAATAATTAATATTAATTTTAAGTTTAGTCGACACTTCGACTTGAACTGGACTAAGATGGAATGACAATAGGCTGCTAAAAATTTGTCGGGTTAGATTGCTAAAATTTGTTCAAAATGTTTGACAGCTTATCTTAATGCCTCATGGGGCCTGTAATTTCTTTAAATACATACATCGTCATTAAGTTAATTAGTTAATTGTTAAATATATTTATATATATATATATATATTGTATGAAGTACACTGCATTTCTACGTTGTCTAAATTTTTACATTAAAATGTCACAAAATGTAGCAATTAAGAAAATGCATCAATTCATAGAAATGATATAAAACATTTGCCAAGCAGAACATGATGAGCTTCATAGTTTTGTTTTGTACTAAGAATTTGAAAATGTACCACTTATGAAAATATTGCCAAAGCGACCAAGGTAAACTCTAAAAGTCTAAATAGTTTCTAATGTGGGCTTGGTGAGTGTTTATCTTTACCAATCAGCAGACGTATGTAAGAAAATGACTTGAAGGGGTTCTCGGAAGTCAAACTGACACAAATGAATTGAATTAAGAATTTTCCCAAGAAGGAATGCACTTTTACACATGCATTTTAATTGCTGTTAAGATATTAAATTACATAATGTCATTTATATTGTCAAACCAAGAAACATCTCACAGCCTACGTAGTCAAGTGACTAAATAAAATAAAATTTGACTAAATTAATCTCAGGAGGTTTGTATCCTGTTGTGGAGAGTTTTTCGATCCCACTGACACACTTTGATCTCTGGTAGTAATATATAATATTTTCTTTTTCAAACATTGTGGACTGACATTTTTCTGCTAACATTTTTAATCAAAATACATTATTAGTTTTCATCACATGTTCATTAATCTGCATGACACATAAAGGATTAGAACTTGTGGTTCAAAAATGTTAAAATAGTTAATGAAATTAAATAGGCATCAAATGTTTATAGTCTAGCCAGTGACAGGCCAGAAGCAAGGCTGTTGGGGGTTTTTTCTTCCTTTTCTTATTTTAGGTTTGCATAATCACTGGAATTCCCTTCAGGGCACATCCAGTGCATACAAGTAAATCCTGACATGAATGAAAGATAAAAATACAAAAGCACAACCCCTGAGGCTGTTTAACAGAGGCACTCCCTTATTCATGCCCTTAAATGTGACAACAGGAATTATGACCATATGTCTGAGTGACCCATGAAAGACTATTTTTGTTTTTATTGTACAAAAACATGGTGATGACAAGACACATCGATTTCTCAGAAGTTCTTAATACTGTATCAACCACAAGTGTCAACCAGCTTTGACAAAAAGTCTTTCATAAAGCTTTAGAGGACTACTTATTATTGAGAGTCGTTTAGATGGTTTGATATTTCTTTTTTTTTTTACAAAGCTGATTACTGATATTGGATTTGCAACAGATACTGTATAAGTCTGCTCTGTATATCAGGTCTGAGTCTTTTAAAATGTTAAAGTCAAAAGTATTTCTACACCAAAATCGATCTTGCTTACAAAATGAAGACGCTCACGTGCTGTTAAGTTGAATTAGCTTGAATGAGCTTATAACTTTAAATTGATTCTGTAAAAATACATTATTTTAAAATTAGATAAATTAGAAGCCCAGTGACAACTTTAAACAGCAGATTAACATCCGTTTCCTGTTTCAGGGAAGCTCAACTAACGTCAAGAAAAAAATAGTTCTTCACCACACGCAGGAGCCTCTTACTGTAATATCTGAACATAGGCGGAGTTTAGGGGGGGCTAGGGGGGGCACTGCCCCCCCAGACGAGAGCCAATCATGATTTTGTCTGAGCTATGAATAAAATATAAAAATTAAATAATTTACATTTTCTCATTTTATTTGTAGTATCTTATTATTTTAGTGGATAGAATAAACCTGCAAATAAAAATGTGGTGGACTGAGTCACTGCTGGCTGAATTGGACAGGTGATTTTCCCATGAAGCGTTGGCCTCGAGTGTGGGGTGTGACGCAGTATTCAGTTGTGAGAAAAACGGCATCAGTCCTCTACTAAGCATATACGCAAGCCTTAAGATTCACCCTCAGCTTGTGACAGCTGAGATGGATCTTGTGAAATGCACAATCGCATCGCCGATCACTCTTGAGAAACTTAAGTTCACCCAAAAATTCTGTCATTAATTGCTCACCCTCGTGTTGTTCAAAACCCGTAAGACCTTCGCTCATCTTCGGAACACAATTTAAGATGAAATATGAGTGACGCATTAGAGAGGAAAATGTGGAATAAAGTCGTTATTTTTGTTTTCTTTGCGCAAAAAAGTATTCTCGTAGCTACGTAACTTTACAGTTGAACCACTGATGTCACACGGACTACTTTGTCGATCATCTTGGTACTTTTCTGGACCTTGAACGTGGTAGTTACCTTTCTGTCTATGGGAGGGTCAGAGAGCCCTCAAATTTAATCAAAAACAGCAGTTATTGTCCATTCTAAATGTATTTTAATGAAGAATATGTGTTACATAAATACATGAAATGTAGAACATATAACAAAGTGCTGGTGGCTCGTCTGCCAGTGGGTGCCCTCCCCCCATGCATAAAAGTGAAACTCCGCCTATGTATCCGAACTCATACACATTTCTCCCACTGTAGAGATAAATGTTACCTGGAAGACAAAAATCATTCAATTTTATTAAGTATAATCATTGCACATTAACGTTTGTAGAAAAAGATTAGAAACACCTACCATTAGACAAGTGGGCTGCTGTAACCTTTCCAGTCAACCCTGGAAATCCACTTTCCACTTGTTGGGGATATCCTCTGTCCATCTTCTTTGCCCTTTCATCATAGCTACCAAAAAAGGGAATTCCAACAGCTTTTCAGAGCTAACTGTAAGGGCTTTTGTTTATGATACAGCACTTGACCCACCTGTAGTAAACCTTGTCAACAAAGAGCAGTGTTTTTCCTGAGCTTTTGTCATAGGCGGCAGCACTAACTTTTCTCACCAATGATGGCAGACCAAAGCTGCTAAGAGTCTTGGGATAGCCGCGCTCAAGATTGCTGCCATTAAATGCCCAGACTTGTTTACCTGTAAACAAAGACGGACTACAATAAGAGTTTTTCTGTGCACAGATATAGAGATCGTAAGGGTGATTGTGGTTCCAGCATTCCCAGATTGTTTGAGAAGATACCTTTGAATAGGAAAAGTTTATCTTGCACTGGATCCTCATAAGCAGCATCTATATTATCCGGAGCGCTGGCCCAGAAACTCTTGATCGGAAGTTGCGTCACAGTTCTGCTCGGAGATCTACGCCAGAAAAAGCTGAAGAGAGAGACATGAAGTCACTTGATTTAAATATTTTAGGTCTATTTATATAAAAATACACTAAATTTTTATTTGATTTGGTGTATTACCCGTCCTTGAAGAACATTGTTTCACCCCTTAGAGTTGTGGCTGCATCCAAGATCAGATTAGGGTCACAAGCCTTAGTTGTTGGTACTTCTGGATGAGGTTGGATGGGGGTTATGTCTCTGTTTGTGCCTGAAGGAAATACCACATATTAAACAAATGACTGAATATTTTCGACTTAAAGATTGTTGATGTGCTCTTGAAGACCATATGCTTACCATAGAGCGACTGAATCCCTCTGATGTCATCACTGGACAGAGAGAAACTATCCGGATCAGTAAAGCTGTATGTGGGGAACATCAGAGCGCCAGGAACGTTAGTATGAGAAAGACCCAAAGAGTGACCAAACTCATGGGCGGCCACCAAGAACAGGACAATTCCTGTGGAGAAATTAAGCATGACTGTTATAGGTACAATTAAAAAATGAACACATTTTGGAGTAAAATGTAAGTGGTGCTAAAGTTACAATCTGCAGTAATGAGTTCAATGCACTACTAAAATTAAGAACTTCTGAAAACTACATTTAGTAAAACTCACCTTTAGATGAGCGGAATGCGAAAAACTCATCATCATCGAAATGTGCATCTCCACCGATTCCAAGAGAAGGAGCAAAAGCATGAGCCAATATGCCTTGTGGTCCATCAAATGGGGAAGCATCACCATGATCTGTAGGAAAGAGTTTAGTTTTATATTTAGTGTTCAACAGAAGATCCCTTCACGTGATCGTGCAGACATGCACGCCGCACGCTCTTGGTTCTGTAAGCAGACTCAGCTAAACTTTTCCCAAACAGTTTTCCAGAAAAATGTAAATGCTTTCACTGAATTCAATCTTCGTTATTATTTTCTCTTAGATAAACCTGAGTCATTTTATGAACATCATAACATATATGGCCTTGAGATAACAGAATAGATTAAGGCATTGTGATACTTGGATTTCACCCAAATATTCACTGCACTAACTGCAATAATTATTGTATTGAACAATTTTATATTATTGTAATGACAGTACATGGGGACTAATTGTTCTGCACTTATCATCAGTTACAATTAATTCAACTGAAAATAATTCAACAAAATATAAACACAGATAGACAGACAACTTACAACTTGTAGCAAAGGAGATCATGATGTCAGCTGTGCCTTTGTAGATACGGGTGAATCTCAGAGGAGTGACATTGGCCCAGACCTGCAGGGCTTTCTCCATGGATTCATCCACTTCAGCTTTTAACATGTCAGGGGTATAGTTCACGATTCTGTAAAAGCACCAGGGCAGGATTTAGGGAGCCGGGGGCCCCTGGGCTTGATGTTTTGTTTGGGCCCTATACCTATACACTACAAATGCCCTCAACTAGAACATCATTATGGAGTAACACAAAAACACAAATATTGAAATATGCTTTGAGGTTCATATATATACAGTACAATTAATGTGCAACATGTCTAGCCTAGTCAAATTTTAGATGCAATATTAAATAGTAATTATAACACAATAAACAGAATGTGTTCTCTCAGTTGATAGATCAAAACCCTAAAATAACACTGAGCAAAAAAAGACAGAGATGTATAGATGTCATATCTGTCCTCTTATGTCAGATTCTTAAATGTAATCATTTAATTCAATCTGAATATAAAGGCATGTTGGATATTAACAATCCAATGAAATTGTAAGGATGATTTTTACCTAAACTGAATTCAAGATTCCTATCCTGTAATAAAACAATAAAACTCACTAATCTGAAGAAAGGATAGGCTTCAGATTAGTAGATTAAATAGAAACAGATTACAGATTAGATAGAAAAAGCACAGAACAACATCTGGCCCAATCTCATCTATTCCCCCGCACTATGCTGAGTTCTTGACTTCTCACACCCTCTCCTTCCCCTCAGGTCTCAGTCAGTCATGCAAATTTCACAAATCTATTGTTTCAAGCTGTTTTATTTGTGGTCAGTATAAATACTTCAGGTGCGACTGGAAGGTGGTTTCACTCTCACATCAACAGAACAGGCAAGAATTACAAAAAAAACCCTGTTCTTCTGATGTGGGAGATGCTTTGATAACCATTTGCTTTCAATTCAATTCAATTAAATTCAAGTTTATTTGTATAGCGCTTTTCACGATACAAATCGTTGCAAAGCAACTTTACAGCAAATTACATTTCTACAATATTTAGTGGTATAGCTCATCAGTGGTGACTGTCAGTTAATGTACATATGGCAGAACTGTACAGAAAAATCAATTAAAGACGTAATCAAACAGATGATGAACACTATTAACAGCAATTATTATATGATGCAATCAAACTTATAGCAAAATGTGGTAGTTCTTTCATCCCCAAAACTAGGTGTGTGACATTTTGGGTTACGAGATCCTAAACAAACCAAAAGGTCTTTTATGTTTTTACAACTGATTTGAAGATTTCTTAGTTCTGGTCTGGGTATATATGTGAAGTGGCAAAACACTACTTTGGGATTCTGTAACCAGAAACCCCCCCACACAGTGTGTGTGAGTCTCTGGAGCTCTGTACTAGAACTCTCACATGCTGCTGTGTGTCTCTCTGCTGTCAGATATACATCTCTCACTCTTAAGATTCATCTTTAAGCAATTGATGTTATGTTTTTATCTGAATTGGTACTGAATTTAATTTTAAAGTGGCTTCTAATTGTTTAATTATGTAATTGGCATGATACATTTTTACCTGACAAATAAAATATTTTATTTGATTAATTCTGCATTATCCTTAAATCATTGAAATCATCCTTAAAGATTTCTGACTATCACTGCCTTAGTAAGTTGCCGTTTTCGTGAATATACAAAACTATGCTTTTTGTTGGAGAAAGCAGAGCGCAGCAAACTAAAAGTTAGATATTTACCCTGCATCCTCTGTCTAAGATCAGAACTGATGAGTTTGTGTCCGTGAGACCGCGTTCGGTCTCGGCATAATCGATATTTGTGATCAGTTCTTAATTAGGAATACAATCTAAATGTAATGATCTCTTGAAATTGGAGTCAGATTAAACACGGAGCAAGACTAAAATTGAAACTAAATCCTGATAAATTAAGTGATCTTTGCAGAAGCGCAAGTAAAAGCCCTTACTTGCATTATACCTTCGCCCACGCCATTGGATTCCGTTGTTGGGCCGATTGAGTGGGCCTTACAAAATCACTATCAACAAAATCTATACATGTATTCTGCATAAATTATGTTAAGTTTAAATATAACATGTAATTGTAGAAATATTAAAATATTGCAAAAATCAAATAATAAGCTACGTTTTTTAAATAAGAAACTACAACCGCTAGGCCTAGTAGGTGGCAGCAAGTGACTGTCTTAATGAGTGAGTTGAATCATTAAATCAATTTAACATTTAACTTTGCAAACCTGATTGAATCATTTACTGCTCCGTGTAACACCGAGGAACAAAACACAGTGTTGCTCAGAGATGCAGCAGTTCTGCTGTTTGTTCTATTTTCTTTCTGACGGAACAAAATGGAATTTTGTAACTTGTTGTTTATTGTACATTTGTGATCGTGCAGATATTCGGAAAAACAGGACTCTTGTTTGTACGATAAGCTAAGTCCTATATCATAGGCATATTATATAAAAACAAAAACTCATTAAATGTCACTTAAAAAAAATAATTTTGATGACATTTCTGCCCCACTAGTGTGATGGCAGTGAGATGGGAGAGAGCTCTCAAAAACTTCAGATCGCATAGTTTAGTGTAACATTAATGTAATATAGAATTGTCCCCTGTAAAGAAATGAGGTGAGAGCATATGAGAATTTATCATTATCTTTCTAAATGTGTGCTCTTTTGTGCTAAAGGCTTAAAGGGTTAGTTAGTCTGACCCTGCAGACAGCAATACAACTGAAATGTTCCCAAGTCCAGAAACGTAAGGAGATCTGTAAAATAATCCATGTGACATCAGGGGTTCAACCTTAATTTTATGAAGCTACGAGAATACTTTTTGTGCGCAAAAGAAAAAAAATTACTTTATTCAACAATTCGTCTCCTCCGCATCACCCTGTAGTGCCATTTTGGAGAATATCCGCTGGACGTAAACAGTCACACGGATACGCTGTTTTCGTTCAGATCAAATCACAACAATGTAGGAAACAGATCCGGCGTGACGCCGCTGACACAGAACAGCATACACTGTTTACGTCCAGCGGATATTCTCCAAAATGGCACCAGCGTGACGCAGAGATTAATTATTGAATAAAGTTTTTTTTTTTTTTTTCTTTTGTGCACAAAAAGTATTCTCATAGCTTCGTAAAATTACTGTTGAACCCCTGATGTCACATGGATTATTTTACAGATCTCCTTGCTACGTCTCTGGACATGGGAACATTTAATTTGTATTGCTGTCTATGCAGGGTCAGGCAGCTCTCATCTTCCATCAAAAATATCTTAATTTGTGTTCCGAAGATGAACGAAGGTCTTACAGGTTTGAAATGACATGAGGGTGAGTAATTAATGACAGAATTTTAATTTTTGGGTGAACTAACCCTTTAATGGGGCTGTTTAAAGTAGCCATGTGATGACAAATTAATCGGTGCAAACACGATTCAGTGTGTGTGTCCTTCTTCTATGTGAAATGATCATGAATACCAGTTTATGCTACACTGTAAAAAAAAAAAATCTGTGACATTTACAATAAAATACCAGCAGCTGTGGTTGCCAGAACTTCACCGTAAAAAATATGGTAGAAACATTTTAGGTTTTACAGACTTAACTTAAATTGACAATAAAATACCGTATTTCATTAACTGATGTAATGTTAATAAACCAACATATTGAAGTGTTAATATCTGTTTTGAACCATTGTAATGCACTGATAATCACCAAAAACTGGTGGTGATGAGAAAGTCACATGATGAACCAAAGCTCATCACAAACATCTTTTCTAGAGCTAAGGAGGGCAATACTTTTATATAGAAGGTGCACAATGTCATTCACACAAACACTAAACCCCATCATGGGGACACACAATACTGAAATAATGCAATAAACATTAATTTAACAACATTAGATGTAAGATTAAACCCTAATGTACACAACTGATAAGAAAAAACAAAGAAAAAACATGTTATTTCAACAAAAAAGCATCAAATATGAAGTGTTATGCAGGGAATTCTGTGAGTGTCAATTTACAGTTTTTCACTGTAAATTATACAATGACTTTTTCTTTTTCACTTCCAAAAACCGTGTTTTTAACAGTATTGACTGTAAAATTACATTAAATGTAATTACATTTATTCACCGAATATAGTATGGAAACTAACTGTTAACCAGTTAACAGGTTTTTACTGTAGCATTTTTACAGTCTTTTACTGTTAAAATCACAATAATTTTTTACAGTGTATTTGATTATGGCCTCGAAGGTCACAATTGGAAGCTGTTAGCCCTGGCCGGCCCGTTTAGCCCTTGTTTGCGCAGTGGAAATGCGGCTAATAATTTATCACTGGCATATAGCTGAACAAATCAAACAAATGTGAACGGGTGTCCGGCCATGAAAAGCACCATAGTCTGTATTTGCTTCTTACACTCTTTTGTGTGTGAGACCAAGATAACTGCTATTACACACACCTGTAGGTGAGCTTGTTGGTCTGCCATTTGGGTTTGCCTCCAAATGTGGAGTACGCAGCAACATCTGGAACTCCACAGCGGGGCTTCTTCATCATCTCCATTGTTTCTTTGTCCAGCTTTCCAGAGACCTTAAGCCCGAAAAACTTCTGCATCTCTTTCATCTTCTCAGTCAGTGGACTGGCCTCTCTTCGGAAGGCAGTTGTTTCATCTGTCATATCCGTTAGATTGTAGAAGCTCTTCAGGTAATGCTAAAGGTGGAATTATTAGAGAAATTATGAGCAACAACAAACAAAACATGCAAACATGTATTATATATATATATAAACATACCTCTGCAGTGGCTTCATCTTTGTCAGCGGGCTTTAAAATCGGTCCAGCGTGAATAACAAGCACCAAGCTTGCAAGAAAACTCAGCTGGTGGTGAATCCCCATGTTGAGAGTTGCTTCTTACGCTCCTGTGCTGATGGAGGCTTATATACTCCTAAAACTGTGAGGGTTTGAGCAACAGGTGAAGTCATGAGCCGCAAGTTTCTTTGAGTAAACCATTAAACTGACGACAACACTGTAAATACAGGATTACCAGCTTCCTTTAACACAAACTTCTTCCTTCTTGCCCAGATATCCACCTATACGCACCTTTGTTTAACAGCAATACTCCTAAATATTTATATTTATACACACAAACAAGAGCAAAAATTTAAACATATTTGCTTAAATGTAAAGTAGTAAACTAGCAACTGTGGTTTTCAGAACTTCCCTGTTAAAAATACAGTGATGATTATTACCAGTATTATGTGATCTTATTTTGGTGGCTGTGTGTTTTACATTACCTAAATCTGTGTGATAGATCATGCAGGGACTTTTGGGAATGGTCATTCATATTTTTAAGTCACAAAATGCATTTCATTAAGTATATACTTTGCCATGTTAAATATACATTTTCACCATACATTTTAAATTAAATTTATATTTAAAAAAAAGTTTTTGCAAAGTTTGAAAGTATGTAATCTTTACCATGCATAGTAATTTACAGATTACCAAGTGCAGGAGTGAAGCTTGACACAGTTATTTTTTACTCTGAAATAATGCAACCATTGTTCCCTTATCAGAATGAGAACAGTAAGAAATCAATAGACATATATGGGCATGTCAGACATAGTCTCAGATGAAGTTCCTGATTCATCGTCATCTCTGTGATTCATTAGGGTGGCATTAGTCACTCAACAACAACCGGGACGTCCACTGTGTTCATGTGTGTGCGTGCAGGTACAGTAGGAGCTAATGGGGGATTGAAATGCTGATGCACATCCAAGCAAACCTTAAACACCTCCTCTTATATCCTCAAGAGGAAAGTGGTGTCTATATTCACATAGAATATGGAAAAAGTTGCATTTTGAAGGTTAGATTTTTGTTTAATTTGTACAATTTCAAAACATGTCAAAGGGAAATCCCCAGTTTATGAAATGAGGCTCTGCATGTACAGTTTAGGAATATCTGCATAAGACAGATGTGTAATATTTTATAATACACAAATTAAGACTTTTAAACTTGGAAAATAATGCAAAAAGCACCATGAAATTATCTTGAAAGTGGTTTATATGCATGGCTCATGCACTATATTTTAATATATGGGATAGTGTAGTGTAGTATAGTATTTTTTTTTACATTTTTCAATTTCTTCCGTTTTCGATTATCCATTACCTCACAGGAATTTTTTGTCCATATATATCTGAGCGGCCTGTATGTGACAGAAATAATATGCTTGTTTTTTTATTTTAGAAACACAGACAAGTACTCATCCATTCCTTTAAACACATCCATTCCAGAAACACTTCATATTATATCAACGGCAACATGTGCTGTGATTTGCTGATCTGACATTTTATAAAAGGCTTAGATGATTTGATCTTTCAGTTTTTACAAAGTTTTCAATTAATATTGGTTTTACAATAGGTATTATCTGAGTCTGAAAGGCTCTGAGTCTTGAGTATTTCCCAACCAAACACAATTCTTGCTTTTAAAATGAACATGCTTGCTTGTGAATTGAATTAGGCACTTTAATTGATCTGAAAACAGTCACATTAAATTATTCTGTAAATACATTCTTTTAAAATGTTTAATGTTTCTTAGGCACATGCATTAAAGTAAGTGCTGTAGTTTTAAAATACAGCATTACGCTCCATCTCCATCCATGTTTCAGGGAACTTGACTAACAGGGCAAGAAGTGATCACTCTTCAGCAAACGAAGGAGATTTCTGTTGCTGGAGCTGAACTCAAACAAATTTGCCCCACTGAAGAGATAAATGTTATCTGGAAGAAAAGAAATCATTGAACTTCATGAAATATACATTAATGCTAGAATAATTTATTTGTATTGTTGCAGATCTGTAACCTCTCCAGTCAACCCTGGAAATCCATTTTCCACTCGTTTGGGATTCCCTTTGTCCATCTTCATCTTTTGTCACAGATGCTGGCAGACCAAAGCTGCTGAGAGGTTTAGGATAGCCGGGCTCAAGATTTGTATCATTAAAATCCCAGACTTGTTTACCTATAAATAAATACAGGCCACGATAAGAGTTTTTCTGAGCACTGATATAGAGATCGTAAGGGTGATTGTGTTCTCAGCATTCCCAGATTGTTTGAGAAGATACCTCTGAATAGGAAAAGTTTATCTTGCACTGGATCCTCATAAGCAGCGTCTATATTATCCCGAGCGTTGGGTCAGAAACTTTTATCGAAAGTTGTGCTAAACTTCTGCTCGGAGATCTACGCTGAAGAGAGAGATATTCAATTTAAATATTTGTATGTTTCTACTGTATAGAAAATACACAAGACTGGTGTCTGTTTTATGTATAAACTGTCCTTAAAGAACATTGTTTCTCCCTTAAAAGTCGTCACTGCATCCCAGACCAGGTTCTAACAAGCTGGTTCTGAATCAGTTAGACCTGATGTGATTATCACATAGTAAACAAACAACTCAATATTTTTGACTCAAAAATTATAGATAATCTCTTGATGATCATACCATATGTGACAGACTGGAAATGTGAGAGTGAAAGATAAAAATATTGAGTAATAATGGGCACCCCAAAATATTTTTTCCCCTCTTTTTCTTCAGTTTTATTCTTTAAGAGACTCTTTAAAAATGTGTTCTAATGTTACATGAATTTAAGTGTCTTCTGTAAGATGCAGTGATGAGAGTTCTACCTGGAAGAAACTTATGAATGTTTTATGTAATTTTTGATATGATAATGGATGATATATACTGTATATATATTTTTTTTTATTTTACTTGTGTGTCTAATCTGCATGTGAAAATTTCTGTGCTGCCATTTTGGCCAGGACTCCCTGGTAGAAGAGATTTATATCTCAATGGGATAATTCCTGGTAAAATAAAGGATAATAATAATAATTGAGTTTAGTCCCTTTTGTTTATGTGGTTTTCTGTCAAATTTAAACTTGTAAGGGTTAAAAACATCATACCTGCATCAATTAAGACTGTTGATTCTTATTAACTGGTTATTCCATCAAATATAAGTGCTGTTGCATTGTAGTGAATCTGATTTCTCTTTGTATAGACACTATATCTAAAATAGACAAAGTAAAACATTAAAGACCAATTGAAGTGTTGAGTGAACACATATGCTGATGGTAAGGCACAAGACAGGTGTTCAGTTGTATCGAGATGTTTATTGTTGCATAAAAATGTACAACCAAAGGGAAATGTTCAAATGCATTACATTTGCCGACTTAATGGACATCAATTTAAATGCTGTGAATTGAATTGTCCACAAAGCATGACCTGTAAAGGAATATTGTTAATAGTTATGATTTCAAACATGTTAACTTTTATTTGCAAGAAGAGAAATAAAAAAGTAAGAAAAAGGAAAAAGACATTAAAGAAAGCGTCAGCACACTGCAGATTCTAATCTGTGTGTATCTTATCATTTCCTACAGTTACTAGCTCTCATCCTTCCATGTTTGAGGCCGGTTACATATAGAGCGACTGAATCCCACTGATGTCATCACTGGACAGAGAGAAACTATCCGGATCAGTAAAGCTGTATGTGGGGAACATCAGAGCGCCAGGAACGTTAGTATGAGAAAGACCCAAAGAGTGACCAAACTCATGGGCGGCCACCAAGAACAGGACATGACCTGTGGAGTCATGAAGCAGAATAGTTTAGGTACAAATGAAAAAGATTCATTGCCACTTTAGATTTTTTAACTTGAAATCAAAGTAGTGTCAAAGTTGAAACTTTGAGAAATATTTCAGCAAAATAATATCACCTTTTGATGAGCGCAAGGTGAAAAGCTCATCATCATCGAAATGTGCATCTCCACCGATTCCAGAAGAAGGAGCAAAAGCATGAGCCAAAGTGCCTTGTGGTCCATCAAATGGCTGAGCATCGCCATGATCTGTGGGAAAGAGTTTAGTTGACTTCTTCTCTCCTTACATTCATATATAGGTGAAACGTTGAGAATCTGTATTTTAAAAATACTGAATTGTTGTGCATTGAATTGAGTTGAACGGTTCTGAATCTAATCGGGACTTGCTTTTAACATGTATATAGCCAAAATACCAAGTTTAAATTTAGTTCAAAAGAATTCATCAAAATGAATTTCATATTTTCATATTTTAAAATGGTTGTTAAAATATGAATATAGATAAATTGATAGATGAAACTTGCCCTTTGTAGCAAAGGAGATCATGATGTCAGCTGTGCCTTTGTTGATACGGGTGAATCTCAGAGGAGTGACATTGGCCCAGACCTGCAGGGCTTTCTTTATGGATCTATCCACTTCAGCTTTTGACATGTCAGGGGTATAGTTCACGATTCTGTGAAAAAGGGCCATAATCTGTATCTGCTTCTTTCACTCTTTCTTTTTCCAGTCATGCAAAGAGAACTGCTATTGCACACACCTGTAGGTGAGCTTGTTTTTCTGCCATTTGGGTTTGCCTTCAAATGTGGAGTACGCAGCAACATCTGGAACTCCACAGCGGGGCTTCTTCATCACTTCCAGTGTTTCTTTATTCAGAGTTCCAGTGACCTTAAGCCCGAAAAACTTCTGCATCTCTTTCAGCTTATCGGACGGTGGATCGAGCTCTTCTTCTGGGCGAAAATGAGAAGTGCTCATTAAATCTTCCAGATTGTAGAATTTTCTCAGGTAATCCTAAAAGGCAAACAAACATGTAATTATTTGAGAAATTATGGCCAGTTGCAAAGCATACAAACAAGTATTATTTGAGGGGGAAAAACATACCCTTGCAATGGCTTTATTTTTGTCTGCAGGCTTTAAAATCGGTCCAGCGTGAATAGCAAGCACCAAGCTCGCGAGAAAACACAGCTGGCGGTGAATCCCCATGTTGAGAGTTGCTTCTTCTGCTCGTGTGCTTCGCTTCTGATTGACAAAGGTCTGATGACAACTTATATACT